AGACAATGAATGGTATAGATTTTGTCCAGACATCTGCTGTAGATGACCTTGTGGTTTCAGATCTTGACGACACGCAGCACGTAGATTTACCACGCACATTTTCCAAAGATGTTATGCCCATAGATCATGGTCACATACCAAAGCCTGAACTACTGAAACAATTTTCTCATCTTAAAACTGTTTCTGACAAATTACCAGTACACATGCCTAATCTTGACATTGGTTTACTGATAATAATAACTACAGATTTAATAACTACAGATTTATAAAGTGCTGGTATCCAGTTCGAAGAACTGCTCAAAAGCACTTCATTTGAGTCTACAAAAAAAAGAAGAGACATTACACATCTAGGAAAACACAAAGCCTCAATACTCTAAGAAAGATTTGGTGAAAAGATAGGTTTTGAGTCTTGATCGGAACAAAGTAGGACTGTCAATGTTCCTAATATCCAATGGCAGCCTATTCCATAGCTCAGGGGCAACTTTGGCGAAACTCCGACCTCCAAAAGTCGCCGTTCTAACACTAGGCACAGAGAGTAGGGACTGGCAGCTTGATCTGAGAGATCTCCCAGGCACGTACTCTTCAAGAAGCTCGCTGATATAAGTTGGTTTTTGATTGTGTCTCGCATTGAACACAATCAGCATCACTTTATACTGGATTCTCTCATTGATTTTGAGCCAGTGGAGGTTCCGTAGAATCGGTGTGATATTGTCAAACTTTTTGGATTTAGTAACAAGCCTGGCAGCACTGTTTTGAACTCTTTGAAGTTTAGTCAAAAGGTTATGAGGAAGGCCGATGAGTAGTTCATTACAGAAATCTAGATGTGATAGAACACATGCGTGAACTAGAGAAGCAGCTGTTTTTGCATTTATACACTGGCGAATCTGTCCAATATTCCTGATGTTCAGATATGCTCACTTGCAGATGTTATCCACGTGCGAAGCCATAGATAGTGATGAGTTGAAAATCACACCCAGGTTACGAACTTCTTTGTCGGAACGATCATATTGCCTCCGATGTCGAGACAAGGATAGCTCACTCGGTTTCTGATGGCGTTTTTGCACATAAAGAGAACTTCAGTTTTATCACAGTTTAATTTGAGAAAATTTGTCAGCATCCAGTTCTTCACATCATCTATACAGGTCTGCAACCTTTGAAGGGATTTTTGCACTGAGTGAAGCTGATTTGGTTTAAAGGACAGATAGAGTTGTGTGTCATCTGCATACAGATGAAAAAGACTTCCATGATGTCGGGCAATATCACCAAGTGGAGATGTATAGATGGTGAATAGCACTGGTCCTAAGACCGAACCTTGGGGGACGCCATGTGCAAGCTTCACTTTATCGGACAGTTTATCCTTAATCCGCACTGATTGAAAGCGAGACGAGAGGTATGATGTCACCCATGAAAGGGCGTCCCCAGTCACATTAAACCGGTGTTTTAGTGTTCTGAGCAGAATACCGTGATCTACAGTATCGAACGCTGCTGAAAGGTCGAGTAGCACAAAGATAGCACCGCCATCAGAATCAACAGCTCGAAGATCACCCTGTACTCTGATTAGTGCTAGGCAGTAACTGTTCACTTGCGTTACAGCCATTAGGACCTTTTGCAGTTCTTTATAGGCATGGTTGGACAATTAATGGTCCAATACAGCTCTTTCCAACAACACTTTAGTATGTAATAGAATTGTTCTGAAAGAAATGGAAAAGTCAAAAGAATGCATTGCTCCTGAAACAGTTTTGAAATTGTTTGAGTTAGACTTCAATGAGCACGATCTTGGATCGACTCCAAACGAACGAGGCTATTCTGTTGAAGATCGTCGTTTTATGAAAGACACTAAACAAAATCTCAAATTCGTTGATGGCCATTTTGAAATTCCTCTTCCATTTAGAGATGAGTCTCAAGTCCCATGTAACAGGGAACAAGCTTTTAAACGCGTCCTTTGGCAAAAGCGAAAGATGCTAAAAGATGACAGGTACCATAAAGATTATGTCAAATTTATGAACACCATATTGTCTAAAGGATATGCTTGTGAGGTCCCTGAAGATGAACTGCACCGACAAGAAGGTAAACCTTGGTATTTACCACATCATGGTGTCTATCACCCAAAAAGGCCAACTAAGATTCGCGTCGTATTTGACTGCAGTGCTAAATTTGATGGTTGTTCACTTAATGATGTTCTGCTACAGGGTCCTGACGTGGCCAACTCTTTGATTGGTGTCCTCACAAGATTCCACTCGGATGATATTGCTTTTATGGGTGATGTGCAGGCAATGTTCCACCAGGTGAAAGTGCCTAAAGAACAACAAGACTTTCTCCGGTTTCTGTGGTGGCCTAACAGCGATTTGAACAGTGACTTAAAGGAGTACAAAATGACAGTTCACACTTTTGGAACTGTGTCATCTCCCACTATTGCAAACTATGCACTGAAAGCTTCTGCAAGAAATGCAAAGTCAAAATATGACGCAAAAGTTATTGAAACCATATAAAGGAACTTTTATGTAGACGACTGTCTCAAGTCTGTTGAAAACAACCAAGTAGGTGATGAGCTGATAACCAATTTGCAATCTGCATGCGCAGAAGGGGGATGTAATCTTACCAAATTTACTAGTAACAGCAACACTGTTTTGGCATCCATTCCCACAGAACATTGTTCTGAAGAAATCCAAACAATTGATTTGAATTATGATGACATTCCAATGGAATGAGCACTTGGTATGCAATGGGATATAAAGTCAGATAGTTTCAAATTCTCTGTAGATTTGCCTAAGAAATCAATGACAAGGAGAGGAATTTTGTCTACAATGTCTTTCTTGTATGATCCTTTAGGCCTTGTATCACCAGTCTTGCTACCTGCCAAATAGATCCTTCAAAACAGATTTCCAGTTTTTGTAACAAACCGTGTGAAGATGATCAGACATTACAGTGAGCCCCAGCAATGGAAGTACATTGATTCAAAAGATAACCCAGCAGATATTGCTTCTAGAGGCTCAAGTTGTAAGCAGTTTCTCAAGTCAACACTCTGGTTTGATGGACCACAGTTTCTTGGAACTCCTGAAGACAAATGGCCAGTCTCTGATTGCCATGAATACGCTGGAATGGTAAAGTCAGAAGAAGCTGTCAATGCTGATAGTGAGACAGTAGATACTTTGATCAATCATTATTCTTCATGGTATCGTCTAAAAAGAGCTGTTGCAATTTACCGCAGATTCTGTGCTTATCTTCAGGTCAAGAAATGGCAATCCTCAAGCGCTCTGAAGAAGCAATCCACTGCAATGAACGAACCCGTCACCGTCCAAGAGCTTGCATCAGCTGAAAGAAACATTCTTAGATTTGTCCAATTGAACACTTATAAGTCTGAAATAGTATTTCTTGAGAGCACAGCAAAGGAAAGAGGCCGAGCACATGTCAAATTACCAAAGACCAGTTCCATTCAAAAGCTTAATCCTTTTGTTAACGATGGTTTACTGCAAGTTGGTGGTCGTTTAAGCAAAGCGAATGTTCCCGATCTTGTCAAACATCCAATTATCTTGCCCCGTAAAAGTCATGTAGCTACCTTGATCATTCAACAGATCCATGATAAACTTGGCCATGCAGGTCGTAATCATGTGTTGTCTGCCTTGAGAGAAACATACTGGATTCCAAACGGAAACTCTGCTGTAAAGTCAGTTCTCAACAAATGTGTTGTATGCAGGAGATATAAAATGCCTACAAGTGTACAACTAATGTCAGAACTTCCAGCCAACCTTGTTAACCCAGCGCCTCCTTTCACACATACAGGTATTGACTTCTTTGGGCCACATGTTGTGAAAGAAGGGCGTAAGTATGTCAAACGTTATGGTGCACTTTTTACATGCCTTGTCAGTAGAGCCGTTCATATCGAAACCGCAAATTCTTTGAACACGGATTCCTTCTTTAATGCTCTTCGGTGCTTCATTGCTCGTCGAGGTCCAGTTAAATAAATCCACTGTGACAACGGAACAAACTTCAAAAGCGGCGCCAGGGTACTTCGTCAAGCAAAAGATGACTTGGATCAGTCAAAGATACATTCTCATCTGCTTCAGCAAGACATTAGATGGAACTTCAATCCACCCTCGGCAAGTCATATGGGTGGAGTGTGGGAAAGGCTGATCAGATCTGTCCTGAATCCTTTACTTCACGAGTTTAGTCAGCAACTGGATGATGAAATGTACAGAACTTTGCTATGTGAGGTAGAAGCAATTTTGAATTCAAGACCTCTTACTCCAGTTTCTAGTGACACTGACTATCTTGATCCACTCACCTTCTCATGATGAAATCAAAAGTTTTTATTCCCCCACCTGGCGAATTTCAGCTAAACGATGTTTATGCACGTCACCGTTGGAGACGCATTCAACATCTGGCAAATGTCTTCTAGTCACGTTGGAAAAGAGAGTATCTTGTAACACCGCAAACCGCAATTTCCAATTGAACGATATCCTGCTCATAAAAGAAGCACTTGGTCTATGGGTTGTGTGACCGGAACTGAGGCTGATGAAAGCGGATATGTCAGGAGTGTCATATTGAAAACAAAAGACTCTGAACTGCAAAGACCTATTCACAAACTCGTTTTACTCATTCCCTCAAACAATTTATTAAAATGTATGTTTGACATCTTGTTAATAACAGTGTCATCTTGCATTTTTGTAGGTCTGTTTTTTGCTGTTAAACACACCATGAGTATGTTTAAGAGGCCGAGTGTGTAGATGCAATATTTCCTAATGTTTCAGACCGCCTCAGTGGTCTAGTGGTAGAGCGTCCGCTCGGAGAGCAGAAGGTCCAGGTTTTGATCCCCGGCCGCGTCATACCAAAAGACGTTAAAAAATGGTACTTGTTGTTACCCTGTCTGGCGCTCGGCATTAAAGGGCTAAAAGAAGGACTGGTCGGCTCGGAGTCAGTATTCTGTGTCTGAGTGGGGTATTCATGTTAAACTGCGGCATGGTATCTCAGTGTGCTAGCACTATAAATCGGCATCAGTCCAGACTAGTACAAGCAGCCACACACACACGTGCATGCACGTCGCTATATAAGTGCAATAATCTTGGACGCGACGTTAAACCCAATTTCACCTCACCTAATGTTTCAAAGTATGAACTGTTAGTGAAATGGCATGAAATCAAGTTAAAATTGTTACAATTCATTTAACTTATTATCCATGGTGGTTCAGTGATTAAGACACTTTATTATTACACTAATGTTCTAAAGTTCAATTTCCACATAATATGTATCAATTCTAAGATACGTGTATACAATGTTTACATGTTCTCAGTAACTTTCCACCACATTTTTCTGAACCTCATCAACTTGTCGACGCTTCGATCAACTTCCCTTACAAAAAAACAAACCAGAAAAGATGTATCCGAGACCGCCCCGATGCATCTTTTGTGGGATTTTAGCCAATTTTTATGGTCTCGGCTAGCCGAGACTTTGCGGAGACCCATCAAAGACTATTCTGGGGTATAATCAAGTACTTCCCCACAAAGGCATTAACCTACCGAGGATGTTTCTAGTGCATCTCCACTAGCAGGGGATGTCTTAGGAGATCTCTTAAGATGTCTCCGATACGTCTTCGCTAGCGGAGACCTTCAAAACAACTTTGCAAAGACTATTCGGAGACTTCCTCAGAAGGGCCATAAAGTAGCTGAAGGTTTGCAAAGATGTATCAGTAATAAAATAGCTGACTGTTTGCTTGTGGAAATCTTCGAAAGAACTTTGCAAAGACTATTCAGAGACTTCCTCACAAGGCAACTTGATAACCGGTTTGCAATGATGATGTGAATGCATCCTCACTAGCCAAAACTATATGAAGACTTTTGTAAGTGTATATATTTCAAAGACTTTCTTTCAATTGATACAGATCAATACATTGAGCTTTAGTCAAGATCTCGGAAAACTAAGTCCCTTGCTTGGAAGAGATGACATGATCATTATTATTTATTTTGAATTTTCTTTAAGGATAATACTAAAGCTCTTTATCTTATACATTCACATGCAATGAATTAGAAATCCTATATATGTCAGCAAGGACATTAATAATTAAATACCCAACACAATTAATGCTTCGGGGTATATTTCTATTAAATACAGTTAAAACAAATGCAGGAATTATCAGTATGCAATAATCAGAAAAAAAAAGAAATGTACAATATATTCATAAATTCCAATCAGAAAGTAACAGTGTCCGTGTGCCATATAACAGTCTCCTCAGAAAAAGGTATATAAGAAAAGGCAACATAAAGTAATATTACTTGTAGACATAGTGGCTGATTTGTGGCTCAAGATATACATGACAGGGATCGAAATTAAATTTATTTCAAGTTTGCCAAAGGGCACAATTATGCCAAATTAAGTGTGCCATTACATTTTTAGGTGTGCCAGGAAATACATGATTGGCTGTTTTAATGGTTATAATCATAATTCAAATACAAGTCAAGTGACTATCATAGTGTTTATTCAAGTTAAATTATACTTAGAATGAATGATCAATCAGAAAATTCAAACACATCACTCAAGTTACTCATTGTCTTTGTACCTTAGTAAGTACTGCAATACCAGTTATAATAGTCTCAGGATTTATGAGCTTCTACGGAACCGTAGAGGGGACATCGGATGAGAAAATAAATATCAATAGTAAGGCGTGGCCACGATATAATAAGTCGAGGCCACGAGATAATAAGTCGTGGCCACGAGATAATAAGGCGTGGCCACGAGATAACAAGTCGTGGCCACGATATAATAAGTCGAGGCCACGAGATAAATAAGGCGTGGCCACGATATAATAAGTCGAGGCCACGAGATAAATAAGGCGTGGCCACGACATAATTTAGCCAATGAAAACTCAGGTTACGTATTTTCGAATTTTAGGATGGAGGACCTCGAGCGTTTTCTCACAGACAGGGGAGTTCCTAGCGAAAACGTTCAGCTACTTGTTGCTGACAAGGTAAAAAGACGATAAGGTTTTCGTGTAAAACGTACTCTTCAGGTTTGCATGTAAAAATCACATTTATTACTGTATTTTCACGGTAAACGGTTGACTTGGCCAAGGTGTATGTACCATTAGGTGATGAAGAAGTAAGCTCTGCTTTTAAGCGATTTTGTACCATATTTATGAATCTTGACCATTTCCCACGAAGACCTAGAGACGAAGTTCAGTGTTTTCGTGCAACTCAAGTTTTGAACGGGCGAATCTTGAATATTACTGATATACATTGCAATAATCATTGTAATGCTATCCTACATACAAAATCTTTTTGACATCATCAGACAACCAAATATATTGCTGTTCTCTTTTAGTTTTGTTTTTAACAAAACCCAATAAACAAATATAGAAATATAATGAAACAAACAAACTATTAAACAAAATTGGATGTGCTTAAATAGTTTCATAGCCTAAATGTAACAATGTGCACAACATGCATTGGCAACATTTATCAGTAAAGAGCGAAGTAATAAGATATATCGTGAATATTGAAATAATCATTTGTGCTGACAATTAGCATCGATTTTCGTAGCTTATTTTCGATTTTGAACAGGCTTAAAGTTCTGGGATACAGTCCTTACCATTAGATTGTTAAATGATTTAGAATTAAATTATAAGATAAATAACAGGTAACATTAAGATGAGTTGAGAATTATTACTATTATTCATGTGATTTAAAATATAAGCTTTGATGTGATTAAACCACTGACGAGATACAAATATTTATGTTAAGATCGATCCAAGCCTTATCCTTGAGATGAAGGATGAAGAGCTTTCTAGATATATTCCTACATACGGGGACAGGCTTGCGACGGTAGTCTGGTGCAAGTCAAGGCAATTGGAAAACCCAGAAAAACAGACCAAATCAAGCGGATTGTTCGACAGAATTCGAGAAAAAATGTCAAATCGAAGAAAGAGGGGTCAGAAAGATTTTGACTTTCTGCAAGGTAACAAAAACGCAAGAAAAACATCTCGGCGAATTGAAGTTGGGTGGATGGATTTTGACACGAAGGTTAATGCCTTTAAGCAAGTGCGGAGTCAAAACGGGGGTGGGACAAGACATTTATCAGTTTATAGGGATGCTGGACAAGCAGATATTCTGGCAGTAGCCAAACAACTGTTCTTTACCGATGGTGAAAGCAAAAGGGGAAACGAGGCGCAATTCACTTTCTCCATCAAAGATTTTAAAGGGGAAGAAATGGGCCAAAAAACAGTGGCTAATGTATATGAGGAAACTAAAGTAAAGATTATTCGTTTCTACATGTACACAAAGAAAAAAGAGAATGAGCAAGATCTGTCAACTGACGTGGTCCAACACCAGTCTAACAATGAATCGGCGAGTCAAAAAAAGGTAAAACCATATTTTGATATCAGGTAAAAGTAAAATTGATTTTTTTGCCATACAACATAAATAAGGTTGGAATAAACCTTCTCTGAGATGTCTAGTTTCTAGAAGCCTCACACCTCAGCGCCATAAAATAACATTGGTAATACCATCACATCGAACGCTTTCATCAAACAGTCAAGTGGAGAATGGACTTTTCTTGCATATACATACAGACGAATATACATGCATCTTTCACAGTGTAAAGGCAGGGGTCAATATTGTTGGATGCAAAATCTGCGAGAAGGAGCGTCACACTTAAACATACGAAAATATGTGTATTGCATGCGATTAGAAATTTGATTTATCTTAATATATGCAGTTGTATGAAATCCCTTAGATTTGTTCTATTGGAGATTATAGACATTGTTGTTTTTACCCCTAAATAATCTGGACAATGGAGATTGATGACGGCACTCCAATTGCTTCTACGGGAACGCCTACTGCTTCTCCTGGGACGCCTACTATTTCTACTGGGATGCCCACTGCTTCTACCAGGACGCCCACTGCTTCTACCGGGACGTTTACTGCTTCTACCGGGACGTCTACTGCTTCTACCGGGACGTCTACTGCTTCTACTGGGACGTCTACTGCTTCTACCGGGACGTCTACTGCTTCTACCGGGACGACTACTGCTTCTACGGGGACGCCGACTGTTGTTTTCAACTCGGGCAGTGTACGTATAAGCATTAAACACGTGGAGTATCATACTTACAGACCCGTGAAGATCCGGGATAGAATTGGTCTTCAGTAACCCATGCGTGTCGTAAGAGGCGACTAACGGGATTGGGTGGTCAGGCTCGCTGACTTGGTTGACACATGTCATCGTATCCCAATTGCGTTGACCGATGCTCATGCTGTTGATCCCTGGATGGTCTTGTCCAGACTCGATTATTTACAGACCGCCGCCTTATAGTTGGAATATTGCTGACTGATGCGTAAAAATAAACTCACTCACTCACTCACTCACTCACTCATAATTACAATTGAAATGAATGCCTAGACTTCTTGACACCGTAGTGCTTTGTTTTAAATCAACTCCTGACGAAAACAAGTGATGTGTTCCAACAAATGGGTTATACATTTCTTGGGTTTACAATAGAAAAAAAGCAATATGATGAATAATGACGTCATCCTTGTACGGTCATTCGGTAGAGATAAACTAGATTTCACAGTATATTGTCAAATAAAGCGTACAAGAAATAACATATTATATGATACAGTCAGTATAATCAAATATCTTGTAAAGTGAAAAAAATAGATATTTCACTCATCGCTATGCTACTTGGGAAAATATCTCCACTCGATAAGAGACAATTGCTATGTCATTGCAAACATCTAGTATCCACTATTACTATTTTCACAATGTCTCTTGTAAACGTCACAAGACATGACGTCAAACGTCACACAATCGATGATATACCTCTTCTGAACATTGTGATTTGAATTTTGGTTGGGAAAAATCAAGGTCAATGTCAATTGGATATTTATTACTTTTATCAACCACTCGGTTGTGGTTCTTTATATTTTATACTTCATTGTTTCGTCTCCTTGCAGGCAATGCAGTCAATTTCAACTGATGATTCACTACCAGATCTAGACACTGTTTCATCAGAAGGCGGGGAAGCCGAACTTGGTGTTGAAGACCAAAATGGTGAAACTGTAGACAGCACGGTCACATACAATGACGTGGATTCAAGTGAAGGAAGTGACTTGGCAGTATTTGACATACCAAGGCAGTCCAACAGGAACCTTGTGTATACCCGGAGTGACCAGCCACTCCCCCTTCAGCCTCCACCCCTTAGACTTGAGGCCGTGCGGTGAGAGAATTATTTATGTGATTCAAACATAAGGGAAAACACAGTTTCATCAGTAAATTGAAATAACCTAAATCAGCCATGCATAAAACGTTTGTCATTTTCCCATTTGAGTTGCAGCTTATTAAAAATTCAAGTAGATATCGTCAATTTGTATCTTGAAAGTACTTTGCAATTATTTGTCATATGTTTATGCAAACATAAATCTTAGATGTAAAGTATAAGGTCAATTGTATTTCCTATAGGTTTTATCGAGTGGATTCTTTCATATCCATAACAAAACGGAAAAAGTAACATTAAAGTTATGTTACAAACTGTTAAAATAATTTGGTCTGAGTTCAGAATTGAAGTAAGACGAGTTCTATGGATGAACAACTTCTTTATTACAATTAGTGCGACGTTTCGGTGTAGATCCTAACACCTTTTTCATGCAAGTGATGAATTGTTTTCTTGTTTTATAGACATTCAGAAAATCTTCACGAGATATTGACCAGACTCGCGTCAGTGATCAATAAAGAACGACGGAACATTGTTAATGTCACAAGACGTAATGTAATGTCAGGTGGCATCAGAGCTTTCAACAGGCCATCTTTCAACCCTGAAAATGGCTTGTCTGTTAAGTTTGCTGGGGAATATGCAATAGACGATGGCGGGCCAAGCAGGGAGTTTTTAAGATTGCTCATGAAAGAAATATCTTCTCTCCCCATATTTACCGGTGACGAGACAAAAAAGATGCTGGATTTGAATTACACTGGTAAGAACTTGCATGTTTTGTGAAGTGTATTGATTTTTGCATAACCATTTGTTTACCTTGAACTGAAGTTTACTGATAGACCTTGGGGGTATTTGACTTGAACTGGACGGGATTATAGTGCTATTCAATATTTTGTATAATGATAGATTTAGCTCTTTGACATATTTATACCATTTGAGTATCATCACTAGATATATTGATACATATGTCAAGCTGTATCCCAGAAGGTAAAAGGTAGAATACACCCATAAAGTAGTATCGAAACAAATTATGTTTAAAGGTTTCAGGTGTCAGGAAATATAGCTACATGTACATCACAATTTTTATTGGTTCTGGTCAGTTTGCAACAGCTGACAGTAAACCTTTAAAGAAATATTCCGAGATCCAGATATGTGGGTGCTGGACTTCCTCATTGACAATAATTTTGTCAAGTTTGGGGATAGAACATTTCGCCAAACGGTTGGAATCCCCATGGGTAGTAACTGTGCTCCACTTCTAGCTGACCTTTTTCTCTTTGAATATGAGTCTGAGTGTTTAACAAATCTTGTTAAATCCAAGAAACGTTACCTTGCTAAAAAGTTTAATCTCAGTTTCAGGTACATTGATGACATTATTTCACACCAAGATAAATGAATTTCTGGATTTGATATATCCACCAGAATTAGAAATTAAAGAAACCACTGAGAGCCAATGCTGGGTTTCCTATCTCGACTTATGCATTGAGATTGACAATAATGACAGCATTTCTACTAAGCTATATATGACAAGAGGGATGATTTTAATTTTGCCATCGTCAACTTTCCTTACTTGTGTAGCAACATCCCCTCAGCTCCCGCCCATGGTGTCTGCATTTCACAATTGCTTCTGTACTTAAGAGCATGTACCTTTTACCCAGACTTCAAAAAAAGACATGCGCTACTAACAAATAAGCTCTTCAAGCAAGGTTACACTATCCAGGGCCTTGTCAGGTCTTTCCAAAAATTATATGGCAGACATTCGGAAGCCTGCACTAAATATGACAAGTCACACTTCATATGATGTGATGCCATCCCATTTAATGACATTCATGTTGAGTTTTCTAAACTCACGGCAAATTGGCATTTAATATTTTCTTGAAATTTTGTGAACGACGGGTGCTACCGGTAGGGCAGGAGAAGCTTACCATTTCGCGAACACCTTATCTCATCACAAGTCGGTGATTCATTCAAAATCTTTCAACACGATTTTGCCTTTCATGTCCAATGGAATCTGTTTCGACAGATATCGAGTTTGATTGTTCTTTGGCGTTGACGTTATTAATTTATCCATTCACTGATGTAAGTTTTCTTGTTTTAGCCCTACAAAGCGGTCTCTACTTGACAGCGGGGAAGATGATAGCATATTCTGTCGTACACAATGGACCTCTTCCACGGTTTTTCAGTCCACTGCTGTTCAGTACGCTTGTTGGCGACAGCCAAATTCAGCCAAAGATTGATGACATCCAAGATGTCGCACAGAGGGAAAGTCTACTGAAGGTCGATTCAAACTCAATTCCCTAATTAGGTTTACATGATGCGTTACAAGATGCGTAACTGCCTTATCAACATTTGTGTGGTCCTATAGTGTCATATATGTTTCATATATTCAAAAGCAAATGTATCAACTAGAATTATACTTCAGAAATATGTACTGTTTCAACACTGCTATATTTGGAATAGCACTATATGTAATAGTAACGATTCTAGTACTTTGTGGTTGAGTGCCATTCGGGCTTTGAACCCACACCATAAGAATCAGGCACCAATTTGCCAGCATTGAAACTTCCACCATGTACCACCTCAACCACTTGGCATCGAAGCGATTTGTTATTAAAAAAATAACATGTTTGCCTTTGTTCATCAATTAAATTGCATGAATTAACTGTTTGTATTAATTCTATAACTTCTTTTGTCTGAATTGTTAAAACTATAGAAATATGTAATGTTTTCCAGATACGAAATGCAGAGGATATGTCTTCGTTCCTGGATGCCGTAGGTGGTGCTGATCAACTTATCCAACTTGCTGGATGTTACTCTCTTACTCTCTCCTTAGCAAAGAAGGAAGAACTTTGTGATGCCTTGATCCATTTTATTGTGCTTGGCAGAATCAAAGAGTGTCTAGATCAGTATGTACTGCTACCAAGCTTTTCAACGAATGTTTGACCGTTCACTGTCTTGTTAAATCCTTCCAAATGTTTTATGGTAGACAGAATGATATTTCTACCAAATATGACAGGCCGCTTGCAATATATGTGCATGGTGGGTGCTACCGGTAGAGCAGGACACGTTCCCCCTTTTCGCGAACACCTGGTGTCATTCCGATTTGTAATCAGTAATCCATGCATATATTGTTCTCTTTACATCGCCACAAATGCCCCATTGAATCTGTTTCGGCAGATATGATAAATCACAGCCCTAAGGCGTTGACGTTTACTATTAAATATCATTAATAAGTGCAATCGGGTTCGTTAGTGTTGCTGTTGCTGAATGGTGTCATAGTGCAGTAATGGTTAAAGTAATTTTAGTATCTGCGACAATTTAATACGCAAGAGTTAATAAAAAACAACAACATACACTCTCTCAAAAAAGAAACGCAACCCCTATATTTTCAAGATGTTTATCTCAATATGCAAGTTATTATAACACATTTAATATTGAAGACAACAATATGACATTTGGCATGGTGGCAGTACAGTTATGCATCTTTAAGTCCAGACTTCGACAGTTCTCTCACTAAGATTGACTTGACGCAATGGGGCGTCTCTGATCTTTGGTTGTAAGACATGGCTCCCCACATCATGACGTTCCCTCCTCCAAATCTGTCGACCTGCCGAACACAGTTCGGGGAAAAACGTTCGTTTCCTCTTCTATAGACACGCTGTCTTCCGTCACGGCGTTGTAAGAGAAAACGTGATTCGTCACTAAACCAGACGCGCCTCCAGTTTCTCAGGGTCCATATCCGAACGTTGGTGCACCACCTGATGTTGGTGGCGTAAAACAGGTCCAATAAGTGGTCTTCTTGCACGTAGACCGGCCTCTAGTAGACGGTTCCTAATTGTTTGTGCGGACACTCTTCTCAAACCTGGCACCTGTGTTGCAGTGACGGTAGGTGTGGCTAGCCGATTACGTAGGTGGGTGACCCGGATGAATCGATCCTGAGGTTGTGTGGTAACCCTTGGCCTACCATTTCTGGGGCGATCGACAGTTGCATGAAACTGGGTGTATCGGCTCCAAAGTCGGGAAATCGTTGTTTTATGAACATTGAGGTGCCGGGCAACGTTTCCAAAGCTTTGTCCGGCCTCAATACGACCAATGGCGATATTTCGATCTGCAGCACTCAACCGTAGCATATTCGACCTTGTCTTTCGGTGAAAATGATAGAGTGAATCTCTAATCAACGCGTGCTTTTATAAGCCCATACTTCTACTGCTCTTTCCATGAATTGCACGTGCATGAGGCTTTTGGCATGGGCCACGTGAAAACTGTGCTCACTATGATGAAAGAAACAATAAAATGCCCTTGTGCACGAAAATTGGTGTGTTTGGGCGCTTACGTTAATAAACAGTGTACATGGTATAAGTGCATATCAGAAAAATTGTATTTACAATCAATATTTTTTCTTCTGGGGGTTTTCTCACATTTTCAGACTGGGGTTGCGTTTCTTTTTTGAGAGAGTGTATTTGGAATGTTTTCACAGTTAATTCAGTTATTATTCATAACAACGATCTGACCGATGCACAATTATACACATGAATTTTGACATCTGAGAATTGATCGTTAATGGGATAAAGTATGAAACCGTCTTTAGGATAACGTTCCAATGAAACAAACACATGCAACAAAAAATTTATCAAACTCAAATTTATTTTATAAAGTGGGTATTGTTCGAGTTAAGGTGCATAGTCTTATCTGTTTCCTTACACAAACTACTTTAAGATAACTAAAGTAAATGTCTTCTGGGTTTTATGACATCCATGTCTATTGCATATTAGCACAAGATATTTTCAATTCTAGATTCCAAAAAGGACTGGCCACTTTGGGAGTGCTTGCAGAAATGCGTGTTCACATCAAAGAAGTAAGGGAACTTTTCTGTTTCGATGAAAAGTATGAATTGAACGCTTCCGTGCTTGAAATGGTGTTCAGTGAACCATCCTTCTCCGAACCTGGGAGCAACAGGCGCAGAATGGAAGAAGAGACAGTCAGTTATTGGATGGACTATCTTCTGGACGTAGCAGGTAATGAGATAAGAAAAACAGTCGGACGTTAGTGTGTTTATAATAACTGTCATGGTGAACAAAGAATATTTATAACAGCAAATTACATGGGGATATCCATATGTAAAGCTAGAACGTGTTTGAGAGTCCAGATAACCAGACACGATCAGGACTGAGAACATGGTCCCTCTTGTGTGTGTCTCTATCACCTGTTAAGATCTAACTGCATTCGCAAATATGTGTCATGATGTATTGTCAAATGAGTGAATATGGTCGGTGAGTTAATGTGGTTGGGTACATATTGTTTAGTGAGTTCATATGTTTGGGTACTTTCTTTATTTGACAAAACTGTATTTTCAGAGGGCACAGAATCAGTCACCCTGAGTGACATATTGGTTTTTGCGACTGGCGCGGGATCCATTCCTCCCCTTGGTCTCCATCCACAGCCGCAGCTGACATTCCACACTGCAATTGAACTCAACCCTGAGAACAGAGAGAACTTCCCTCGAGCTAACACATGTGCAAATGTATTAGACATTCCAATGATCAGTAATTATAACCTGTTCAAGAAAAACATGAATGCAGCAATCAGTGTGAATATCTTCACTTCCGAGTGAAAAGACGGGCATGACTGTTTGTCATGAATTGTCTTCCCCCTTTAAGTTTTGTTTTGCATTTGTTTCACTTTTACAGAACTGTTCTGCTATAATCGATTGAGCTTTTAGTCTAATTTTATTGAATCTGTTACTACCAAATAGGTTAATTGGTACTGACATCTGATTGTTTAAGAAGATTTTATTTACACCTGTTCAAAACATTTTTAGACGAATGTCCTATCGTATTATTTCTAATATACAAACCAGGTGTTGAATTTTTAATGGTTTGATGAGGTATGTTATTAAAGTTTAGTTTAAAGGAATTGCATGCTTTGATATCAACATGACAATACCGTGTTCCCTGTAGGGTCAGAAGAGGGGTCGTTTGAATCATTTTACATTTTGTGCTTTTGGTACAAGAGAAACCTTAAATTACTATGACCCTTTTAAATGTGTCTCTTAATGTGAAAATTAAGCGGAATTTGTTTTTGGAGTTTTTGTTGAGACAAAGAAATATTAGCTCATAGGTTTGTGGCATATAGTAAACGTGTTATTTTGTAAGCCTGTAAAGAACGTTTATTGTAATGAAACGAAGAAGGATGCAGATATGTTCTTTCTTTAAAACCCCAAATACGTTTAAATGACCATTGTAAGCAAGTTTTTTTGCAGTCAACATGTTTATGTTGTAATGGAAATTAAAAAAATATTGATGTTGTTGGTTAAGAATTACTAAGTTTGGGTACAGAAGGTTTAAAACTTACAAATATCGCATCTGTTAACATTTTGATTTATTTGGATTGCATATTATGAACATCTTGTTATGTTTTGAACAGACAGAATAAATCCTGTTTAATTGATAAAAGTTAATGGAAGTCACTCTACCCCAGATATCCTGGTTTTTTCCCGGTGTGGATTACACCGTTAGCATTATAGTTTCTTGAAGTATTGTATTAAATTTGCAGTCATTTTAAAAAGCTGTCACACAACACAATAAAGAGCCATCAGTTAACAGCTTAACAGGCTATTTTATGTCATTCTTTTAATGTTAATTCGTGAACATTCATTTGTTTCATGTATCTACCTAGACTGATAGTTTTGGAGTACAACGTTCAAAGTACATAATTTGCGTTGCGAACTGATATAAAACTTATTATCATAGCAAATAGTCATCTGATAATCTTTACTTATATTACCACCAGGGCTTGTAATTCATCAATTTAAGCAATTGTTCCAAAGGTCTGCGACTACAGAATTATAACATTTTACGAATGACGTGTCAGCTTTCTGTAATTCGGACATTATGTTAATCATGCACTAAACAAGTCAACTAAGCTTATGCAAGTTATTGTATGCACATAAATTTATTGTAGGGTTGCGGCTTTTGTATCAGCAAACATTTGTCAGAAGTGCAATCAGTTGGAAGTTTTGCTTATACTTCTTGTAAAACATCAGATCTAGAGTGAATCAATGTTAAATTTGGGAAATGGTTTATGTCTGAAACATTAAACGAAAGTTTGTACTGGCATTTATACCTGCTTTAGTTGCAAAACACTAATGTTAATCATAACCATCAATAGGAATACGTGCCTCGTGGAAGGAGGCAACGAGTTACATTTGGTAGGATCATAAAACAGATGTATATTAGACTTTACTACAGGACTTCGTAGATTTCTTGTCGGAGATGTATATACAGATCAGCTGCTTCTTGAGCATTCGTTGCCGGTTGTAGGTTGTCTCTCCCCATGACTTTAGTACATATTTCATAAACGTCTTCATCACAGGGGATTGTTGAGCGAATCACGGCTTCCTCAAGGCAGGTAGAGACGTCTTCGTCGGACACAACACAGAGTTGATCTTCAGTTTCCCATAGAGCTGGAGCACTGTACATTTGCTCTGGATGACCACTTGCAATATTGTTTCTTGAGGGTCTAATGCAATGGTTGTCCCAAACGGCAGCCACGGAATCCAGATCATCCTAAAAATGTTAATGTTAAAGAATTGTTTCCAACCGATTTATCTGGTGTAGATTAGGACATGAAAACAGCAAAAACCTGTTTTATATTGTATTGATCATTGTAGGTAACAGTAACATATTTTATAGTAAAGAGAAATATAAAATATATGTCGAAGAAAGTTTACATGTATGAAGTCGTTACTTTATGTATGAACAGTTCTACTTGCATGACATAATACAATAAAGTGTACCTGAACAATAGCCATGAAACAAAACTGGATAAGGTTTTTGTCCAAGAAATCTCCCCTGAAATCTCCATTTTCCTCGAGACCTTTGAACGTTTCAATCCAAAACTGTGTACATTCCTTTCTTAGAAATGACCACCAGACTTCGATTCTTTGATTTGATGTACTGGAACCATCAATGAAGCATCTTCCGGCTTGTGGATCTGTATTGTCACGTCGAAGATACTGTTGATACACTCGGACGTGTACATTTTCTGTACCATGGTCAGCCCTTACAATGCGTGGGCAACCTCTGTGGGTCCTAACGGCCTCTAAAAAGTATCCACCAATTACCTTTGGATTGTTGTTGGTATTGTAGACCTTGATCCATATTACTTTTCTTGAAAATCCACAAACACAAGCGTGGATACAAAGTCCAAATGGTTTAAGTTTATCATATCCATCTACATGCCAAACAAAATTTGGCCCTTTGGCATAATAGGAACGCCGACGTAGTCGCCGAACTCTCCTTGATGCAACTCCCACTGGATCTAGATGACGCAAAATAAGTCGAACGTCTTCCATTCTAGCCTTTACACCACTTTGTTGACATCTAGCGTACATGATACGGTAGCCACACAGTTGTCCTGAAGCTGATAGTTGATCCTGTATAAAACTCACAACATCCACGAGAGGGCTGAATCTACGACGACTCAGATTCATAGTCCTCAGAATTCTCTTAAGGTGCCGCACACTTAGTTTGAATCCATAGATGTTGTCAAGAATGTACACAATATCCTTGTAATTGATTCCAAGATGGAAATAATGTGATATTACTTCACTGCGAAGGTCTTGATTCATAATATGACCAAGTTTCATAAGTAATGGAATGATGAAAAGTATATAAAATGGCCGACCAAAACAGCAATTCTATTGGTTAAATTATCTCATGGCCACGACTTATTATCTCGTGGCCACGACTTATTATTTTGTGGCCACGCCTTATTATCTCGTGGCCACGCCTTATTATCTCGTGGCCACGCCTTATTATCTCGTGGCCTCGACTTATTATGTCGTGGCCACGCCTTATTATCTCGTGGCCTCGACTTATTATGTCGTGGCCACGCCTTATTATCTCGTGGCCTCGACTTATTATCTCGTGGCCACGCCTTACTATTGATATTTATTTTCTCATCCGATGTCCCCTCTACGGTTCCGTAGCTATTCTGAGACTTAGTCACTTTTCGTAATGCTGATAGCCCATGAAATTTGTTCATTTTGTTTTTAAAAGAGCTAAAAATGATCCCATTTCGCTAAAGTTAACCGGTCTATAATTTGTAAGAATAAACTATTGCGCATTGAGCGATTATCTCCTTTAGCTATAGGCGTAGTATAGAAGTGATAAATTCACGCACTGACCTTGCATTGCTGTACATCGTATCTTATTCAAGCTGTATCACTGAGAGTGAGTGATTATCTCCCTTACCCGAACAGTTCAATTGCGCACTACCTTTGCAATGTATCGTATGTTATTCAGGCAGCCATCGAGAAACGTTCCAGGAAGGAATTTAGGCCAAGCCTGTCACGCGCACTCAATTTTCACACTGCTATTGCAACATATTGTTCAACACGATTAAATAACAGGCTTCTATAAAGTATGACTTTCTTCAATAAACAACACATGTAAAACAACGGGTTTGATATGAGAATTTTTTTATTAGTTGTCTTCATAATCACATGTATGGCGCTTGCTGTGCATAGTTGAGCACAGCATTGTTTTAAATACTTCACTGTATGTAATGTATGGTACATACCGTTTCACGCGGCGGTTTACGTTTCTGCATGGTTTATTGCTTTGACAAAAAAAATTAACTTCCAGCAGAGATCATACACCCGTATATGTTCTTTGCTTCTGGATACATAGGAAATCAACAGGTTGGTCTGCAGTTTGCAATTATTTTCCAAAAAGATAATACGGTTGCATGATATCTTCACGATGTTTGGGTTGAACATAGTAACATTCTTCTAAACAAGTTTCCAATCTAAGCCGGAAGCAATACCAACACAAACCCAGTTAACCAAACGGAACCATACACAAGAGTGAGTGAGGTAGTTGGGTTTAACGCCGTCTTGAATAGTATTCCGTGTCAGCATGAAGTGGGATGAAAGTCTGAAGTGATGCAGGTCTTAGACGTTCACCACTTTGGTGAAACCAACGAGCAAGGGTTTTGTGCTGACAACAAAATCGGGGCGAACCGAGATTCAAACACACTGTCATAGGTTTCTGGCGTGCCCAAGGAACACAACTCTGCATAGCGAATTGCAGCGCCTTCGGCGACTGGGCCAACCATGCCCCCGTAAACAACTGTAAGAAACTATTATACAACAAAGATGTTTTAGATGAGATATGTATTGCGGAACATTCCATGAAGAACAGTGGCAATATTGCACAATCACAAACTACAAAATACATGCACAATAAACGACAATTAAAAAACACAGGAACATTCAACATTCAAAAGAGGTAGAATTTAATTTCTAAAACGGGGTTTTGTAATGATATGGAAACAATATGAGAATTGAGCAAAACTATGGTAATGTTGTACATACATGTACAAGGAATTTGTTTGTAATTGTTGATATGTTAACGGATCTTGGAAGTTGTTTCTGGATAACTGTTGGTAAACTTATTAAGAATCTGCTCCTTTTAACAGAGTGTACCAAATTCTTTATCATGATTGGGGATTATTTGTGATTCTCTTTCTTGGTTGTATTATGTAAGACAGTTGTTGTTCATCTTCTGAGACATCACATGTTTCACAGAGACGTTGTTCAAATGGGGTTGGGGTTTTTGTATATCTACATTTTTTTCAATTTTTAGTTTGTGATTACTTAAACGAAGTTTTGAGAAAAGTGACCTATGGCCTTTGTTTTTACAATATGTAAGATAATTCTCAATATTTATAGATAACGTGACCAAACTGTATGTTCCTAACTTGCTGCTAGATAAATGGGAATCCATTAATGATTGCGTGAATTTTTACATTTGAACTGAAGTATATTTAGAGTGTATTCATTACATTTTTTGTGTTTACTATTTTAAGAGTTTGCTTTATTTAGACCAACCAACATTTTGACCAGAAATATTGATATTTGCTGCAAAAGCATGCTTTAGAGTGACATTTGTTGTGTTATCTATATAGGATTTTTTTATTGGTACTAATAGTGGGTAAACATCAAGGTTTGCCTGACAGGCCCAGTTTTCTTGCCTTGGTTTTCTTTGTGCTGACACACTGTTTCTTTTATTGTGCTTTCCAAAGATAAGTACATTAATAACAACCAATTTGTACTTAACACAAATCCTCTCCTCCCATAGCTTACACTTCCTTCCTCTGCACATAACATTATATGACGGGGAGCTATTGATGCTCTGCAGCAATCTCTACTTGTCTACACGACAGTCAACTCGCCTTGAGTATTTACATTGCTAGAACATGCTATTTTATTGGTTTCTGGTGACGCTTTCTTGACGAAATCTGCTATAAGATTCGTGATTGGTCAAATTGAGCACGTGACCTAATACAACCAATTACAGCAACGGTACTTGTGTATAGCAGACTTTGACGGAAGGTTTTTGTTAAATCGTGTTGTTCTGAACGTTTTAAGCAGGAAATCGCGATCTATATTAAAAATATGAAACTTTGTGGATGTATCGTGCCAGGTTACGAGCTGAGACAAAGATTTTTCTTGCATATATTTGGCATTAAACATTGTGGAGAAATCGAGGCGATAAAACTATTAAAAGCCGCGATGCCATTTGACTCGC